CTAATTAGTGCTCCTACTAATTAGGTGGCAGTGGGTCCCGTCATGAATGATGTGATGTTTTGGTCTTGGAGTTGTAATTTTTTTTTATTTTTTTTATTTTTTTAATGCATTAGTGCTATTAGTGGTGATGTTTTTAGTGGGATGAATCATTGTTGTTGTGGATAATAATAGAAGTAGTGTAGGTCGGAAGTGTGAAAGGATGGTGCAATGATGTTACTAGTTGAAAGAAAATGTGGAATGTGAAAGGTGGAATATTGAAAGAAGAAAAAAAAAAAATGTTTAACTTTGTAAAGTTATAGATATTTTATTTAAAAAAATTGTTAATTGCATATCATATAATTTGTTAGTTTAATTTAACAATTGATTAACAAAAAAAATTTATTTATTATGTGATTAAAAAATTTTCATCAACAATTATATCACGTGAATAATATCATATAATCCACATGATACTTGTGAATAATATCAAAATTTTAAAGTATGTTAGAATAGGTGGTGTACATTGGTCTCATTTGGTGTAACTGTTAAAACAGATTATAGATTATAGCTTAACAGATTATGAATTATGACTTTAATCAGAAGTTATTAATCTGTTTGATGTAACTGTTAGATTATAGATTTAAGTTGTTGAGTAGTGTTTGTTCAATAAGTTGTAAAGTAACTTTTTCAATTAACTTTTATTTTTTGTTATTTACTACTTGTCTATATTTCTCATAAATAATAATAATAATAATAATCTATAGTCCATTTTGGTCTTTTTCTGCTTTTAAAAAAATAAAAAAATTTAAAAGTATAATCATAAATTAACATGTCTATAGTAAAAGATGATAATAAAAACTAATGGATGAACAACTTCTCAAAATTAACTTTTTTGAATTAAAATAAATTGTTAAAATAAAAAATTATTTAAAATAAATTTAACTAAACAGTTCAAAATAACTTTTCTAAAACTAAAAGTGTACCCCCAAGGATACACTATAGGAGGTGACATTAATGTTATGAAGTGTACCTCCAAGTACCTCAAATCAAAGATTCATTTGTACAATCCAGAAGAAAGGGATCAAAAATTTATCCCACCCCCCCCCATAGGAGGTGACATTAATGTTATGAAGTGTACCTCCAAGTACCTCAAATCAAAGATTCATTTGTACAATCCAGAAGAAAGGGATCAAAAATTTATCCCTCCAAGTACCTCAAATCAAAGATTCATTTGTACATTCCAGAAGAAAGGGGTCAAAAATTTATCCAGAATTAATTGAAAGTTAAAATTTATTTAAAATAATATTAAGAATTTTAAAAAAATTATCAAATATTTTATATAATATTCACTTAACTTTAATGTACCAAATATGACTTATTTATTTGTCTAATCGTATGTTTGTCATGGTCTTACATGGACCTTTTTTTGTATAATTTTTTTTTTATAAGTAAAGATTTTAAAATTTAATACAATTTTCAAATATCAGCACTGATTTATCACCCTACAACTAGAGTTTTAATTGAACTCTAGTGGCTTGAAAAATCAAAAAAAAAAAAAAAAAAAAAAAAAAAAAAAAAAAAAACAAAACAAAACAAACACACAGACAAAATCAAAACATCACAGGATCCACACACAAACATCACATGATCCACACACAAATTAGAGCTCTCCCCCTAAAACTCTCAAATATTTCTCTTCAAATATTTACCCTTTTTTTCTAAGATGGGAGATTGCCCGGTTAGCCAACCCACCCATCTCAGCCTATTTTCTTTTAAGCATTTGTAATTGATATTTAAACCTTTGTTTGGAATGTGAGTTGATTTTTTTTTTTAATTTTTTGGCTATTTTAGTATAGGCTAAAAAATTTCGTTTGAAATGAATTTTTTAACTTTTTTAACTTTTGTGAGAGAAAAAATAAAATGATTAAGATTTAGAAGTACCATTTTGTTTTATTGATTTTTTAATTTTTTTTTGGGGACTATTTTAGCCTGAAAAATTTATGCCAAACATAATGTAAGTTTGTATGAATCCAAGCCCAGCTCAAATTTTTTTGACTTGAAAAAAATATTTTGGAATTTGGTGTAGACTTAGATAAAAATTCAGAAATCTGAATTAAATTTGAGCGGATTTGGACAAAGAAATCAAACAATCCGAGTAATCCGAAACCCGAAATATATATAAATACATAAAAATATTAAAAATACATATAAATTATTAACCATTTGATGATATTAAAGTAATTTAGACTGTTAGATCATACAGAATATATATTAGGGTTCGTTTGGAAAGAACTTTTTTAACTTAACTTATTGGCTAATTTAGCTTAACTAATTTAGCTCCATTTGGAAAGAACTTTTTGATTTTTTTTACTCGTTTGTTTCTCTTGAGAGAAAAGGTGAAATAATTATAGTTTGTATGTTACATTTTGTCTTATTAACTTATTTAGCCTATTTTGTATTTTTATGTATTTTTAGTCCTAACTCACTTCCAACTCACTTGCCCAGCGGTAACTATATATATAAGTAACACAACACAAAATCTTATCTTTTTTTTTTTCTTACTCATAAATTGTAAAAACCAACATAACGACATCTTTTATGTTACATAAATTATTTACTTTGATTTATTAATGATTTTATAATAAAAAAATGTAAATAAAGTCTAATTTTAACAAAATTAATTAATTTAGATGCACTAAAACAAAACGAAAATTTATGTACAATTAGGACAATTCTAGTTTAACTCGGGTTGAATTTGGACAGACAATCTCAGGTTCTAATACGGGCTTGGATGAGCCTAGATAACTTTCAGCACAACTTGAATTAGACTTAAACAATCTCTCAACTCGTTCAAATCCATCCGAGTTGCACCCTAATATGAATATGTGAGGATGATAGTCTTACATGTTTTGTTAATTATTAAGTTTTAGTGTGAACTCAACAACAAAATTATTGATTATTAATTATTAATTTTATAATATTTTTTATTATAAAAAATTTGTTCATTCGTAGTTTTTATCTAGAGCAACTTGAAGGCATGAAGCAAAATGGATGTATTAGCCAATTTTGATAGTGAGATTTTATGTGTTTTTGTACTAATTTTTATTTTGGCTCTCCATAAGTAATTAGTATTTATTGCTAAGTAACTGATCTTCTCGCCATTGTCCAGGTTCCCATCTCTGCTTTGTTGCTTCTCTGTTCCAGTCCACTGATCCCAGGTATAGGCTCCCTTTGTCTATTCTTTCTCTTTTGTATAAAGATATTATTTTAAAAAATAATTTAATAATAAATTTTAAAAAATAAATATTTATAAATACCACATCAATAACCACGCATATACAACATGTCATAAAAAAAATTATTATTATTTATTTATTTGATTATTAAAATAAAGAATATTGTTGAAATGGACATTAATTAAACTAATTAGGCAAAATAGGAAAAAGTATTTATCTATGTACTTTAAGGCCTCGTTTGGGGAGTGATTATTTTAGCCAAAAAGTTAAAAAGTTACTAAAAGTTATCACATTACCTCTCTATTTTTCTGCACATCTTTTCGTAAAAAACTAAAAAATTACTAAAATAACTTGTTCCTAAACGAGGCCTAAATAGACATTTTGCCTAGAAGTGTTAAGAGTCGTTTTTAGACATCCCCCCTAGACATCTCCCTCCCCCATGCAAATTAGTTACATTTTATTGAGATTTAACGAAATTACAGATTCCTCTTGAGATTTTAAAAATTACATCATGTCCTATTGCAATTAACGCCGTTAACGGATATCATAAATTGACTAAAATGCCCTTTTAACAAATAAGGACAAATTACCTACATCCCCTTGAGATTTAGCTAAATTACAAATTCCACCTTGAGATTTAGCTAAATCATCATTTTTAAATAAGTTATGAAATGCAAGATTAAAATAGAAAAACATTTATCACACTACAAAAAATTAAGGTTTTAGAGACTAAAATTTAGGAAAAACATTATTTTTAGAGAGCCAAACATTTTTGTTGCGAAAATTGTCGTTATTATATTTTTAGCAACGAAAATTGAACATTAGTGATTAATTATTATCTTTTTGGTATCAAATTTTTTGTCTAAAAAAATAAATCATTTTGAGACCAAATTATTTTGTCCCTAAAAGTTTGTTATTATTAACATTTTCGAAATTTTATCATTAAAAGTCTTATTTTTGACTTTTTAAGACGACTTTTTAGCGACTATCATCACGATAATAAAAATTAGTCCCTAAATATCTTTTGTAACAAAATTTTCACTTTTAGAGGTCAAAAAGATTAGTCTCTAAAACTCTTCTATGTTGTAATGTTAGATAGTGAAAATATCATAAAATTAACAAATAATTAAATAAGTTAAAAACACAACGGCTTATCAAAAAATTCTTAGAATATGTTTGGTTTGATTTTAAAAAATTTATTTTTAAATTTTTAAAAAAAGTTAAAAATTAATTTGGTTAAAAAATAAAAAATAAAAATAATAATTATTTTTATATAATTTTATCTTTTGAATGGATAGAAATAATTTGTACAAATTAAATATATTTTTTTATATTTATTTTTATTAAATTAGTTTTTTTTCTTTTTTTTTTAGATTCTGATTTTTTTTTTCTTCTAAACAACAAATCAAACATATTTCCAAAACCTTAATTTTTTTCCCCATCTAATGTAATTCTTTTGTAAATTTTGTTGATTTATCAAAAAGATTTCAATAGAGGCAATATCGTCCATCCATTTATATTTTGGTGATATCAGCTAACTAATTTATAGTTTAATTAACGGTAAATGTTAAATTGTTATGCGATTATAAACTTTGGAAATGTGATGTAATTTCTGAAATCTAAAGAGAAAATCTATAATTTAGATAAATCTCAAAGAGGTGCAGGTAGTTTGCAAAAAAAAAAAAAAAAATCTCATTTTCAAAATCCGGCCACGACCAAACAGGTCTCAGCCACATTTTAAATTAGGTCGACCGTTGGGTTGGAGCCTGAAACCAAAGACAAAAAACTAGCCGTTGTAGCCTGCTTTTACCCAAAAAAAACCCTAACCCAATTTCTGCAGATTCAATCCCATTCCATCAGTTTCTCTCATAAAACATTACCTTCTCTATCATCAACCATAACCCCAACCCCATCTTTTTCTTTGTTGATTGAGCCAAACCCTAGTTTGCAGAATTGAAATTCGCTTATTCCTCTCTCCCAATTTTTTTTTTCCTTTTTCTTGAAAGATCTTCAAAACATTTTCTATAGATTCAGACTTGAAAGTTTTTCATATGGCTTCAAGAACAGCATCCAAAGACATCATCACTCTCCGTGGATCGGCCGCCATTGTTAGTGAATTCTTTGGTATGCTATCGCCTCTGTTCACCTCTCTAAACTCTTTTCTTGATTGAATCTTTCTTTCTAGTGGTTGGGTTTTCTGGGGATTCAAGAAAATCTCAACTGATGTCTGTATCGTTTGAATCTTTCATTTTTGTTGTCGGGTTTTTTCTGGGGTTTCAAGAATTCTCTACTGATGTCTGTATTCTTTCTCTGCAAACCCTTTTCAGGTTATGCTGCCAACAGGTAACAACATTACATTCCTCAATTTTTTATTATTTATTTATTTTTTTAAAGTCTATTTCAAAGTTTTGCATTTAATTTGGGGATTTGAAAGTGAAAATTTTGATGGGAAAATCGTGTAGTATTCTATATAACCGCGGAGTTTATCCGGAAGAAAGTTTTGCCAAGGTGAAGAAGTATGGGCTTCCAATGTTGCTCACTCAAGATGAGGGTGTCAAAACCTTCATTGCTAATCTAAACGCTCAGCTTTCTGGTAAGTTTTTCCTTCATAAAATTTTTATGTACAAGTTTTTAAGTTGATTTCACCATTAGCATCCTTGGTGGCGGCATTGTTTCGAGAAAATAGTAATATGACGGTTGTGTATATGTTGTTCTTAGTGCTTGATTTTTCCATTAACATACCTGGTGGTGTGGTTTTGAGTCACACAAATAGTTTTCCAAAAATGGAATATGACCTTAGTGCTTGATTTTGCCATTAACATCCCAATGGCGTGGTTTTTGAGTCACATAAACAGTGCCCTTTGTGCTTGATTTTGCCATAAATGCCCTTGGTGGTGTGGTTTTGCGTCTCCGAAGTTTCTCCAAATGCGGATATGACTTTTTTGCCCACGCAAACCCATTTTAGTGGGAAACTCATGCATTGTGTTGCACTTTTTGTAACTTTTTGGTGCTTGATTTATTTGTGTAGCTATTGATAGTTGAAACCTTTTTAATTTTGAATCTTGTTAAGAGTGGCTGGAAAGTGGCAAGTTACAGAGGGTAGTTCTGGTGATAATGAGCAAATCTACCAATGAGGTCTTAGAGAGGTGGAATTTCAGCATTGAGACCGACAGCGAAGTCGTTGAGAAAGGGTAAGGGATACTTACCAATCAGTTTTATTAACTAAACTTATTTACCTACAGGTCTTAATAATGGGTAATAATTCCAAGAATAGGACCTATTAATAATTTACTAATTCAATCTGAATCTTAAATTACAAAGAAAAAAAAGAAAAGAAGAAATAACTGATCTCTTCAATTTTCTCTAATGTACTTACATTTTCATTTTGCAATTGATTCGGTTTTGATTTCAGTGTGTCGAGGGAGAAGAGCGACAAAGAGATTATGAGAGAGATACAAGCAATTATGAGACAGATAGCATCCAGCATTACATACTTGCCATGCCTTGATGAACCCTGTAACAATCCATGCCTGTGTAATGGACCCTTGTACTATTTTGATTGCTTGAACAGTTTTAATTCATTTCGTTTTTGGTTTTGGTTTTTGTTGCAGGTGTTTTTGATGTTTTGGCATACACTGATAAGGATGTTGCAGTGCCGTTCACCTGGATTGAGAGTGACCCAAAACTGATTTCCAATCCACAAATGGTGAAATTGCATTCATTTGATACCAAGGTAACAAACACATCACCTGCAGAATTTTTTTGTTTTTTGTTTGTTTTTCCTTTTGGATGATTTCAATTTTTGTGGGTCATGCAGATTCACAAGGTGGACACTCTGGTATCATACAAGAACGACGAATGGGATGATGAGCAATGAGAGCAACCCGCTCTTCATAGTGTGTCTGGTTGTCTGTGTTTTTCAATTAATCTGTGAAATGTTAGTAGTGGAATTAATGCTTTGAATTGTTGATTCAAAATTTGAGAGTTTTAAGCGCTGAGAACAATCAGAAATATGGTGTTACTGATTTTTGTATCCATGTGTGTGGATGGTTAACATGGAATTAAAAACGTTTAAGCAGATTTCAACTTGTTTTGTTTGCTTTTTCTGTATCTTGTGCAGATAGTCTTGTTTAAGAATTCGCTCTCTTTTTTGCATTAAAACTTAGAAAGCCCTTCAACTGCAATCATAAATAAGATTACTAAATTGATGACAAGTGCTTGACAAAATGTTGTAACATAGTGTTCAATTTCCAATCTGGTAATTTCCAATCTTGATATCAACCCATCTCTGCTGGCTATATCAGACACAACACCAATGCAAAGACAGAGCCCTCCATTCCAAATTCCTAAATGGTCCCTAATGAGCCCTCCATCTTGATATCAGCATAGTGCTCACATCTTTAAGGGAGGGGCTCACATCTCTGCTGGCTATATTGGACACAACACCAATGCAAAGACAGAGCCCTCCATTCCAACTCCCTAAATGGTCCCTAATGAGGTCCCCACCCACCACAGTGCCTACTTAGCCTGAATTGTGGGTGTGGCATACTTGGTGGGGTACAATCAGTGTAACTTGGTCTGGTGGGTAAGGGCGAGCTTGACTGTGAACATATTACCATTCCAAGGTTTTGGTTGGGTGGATGAACAAGTGGAGTTTCTAGCTTTCCAGATAGCTCAACAGGAAAAGTATAGCCCTATCGCTTTAATCCATTCATTCAACAAGGTTCAATCTCTAAATCATAAAAGCACAGCATGGTATTTGATCTGAACTTTGTTGATCACACCTTTTCCACGTTCTCTCTTAAAAAAAAAATTGTTATGAACTATTGTATTTCTTTCAAAATATTGAATATCTATCTGTCTTGAAAAACAAAAAAAGAAATGCAATGAGGAAGACCAACGAGTGAAATTGAACCTGACGTGAATCGAACACGCAACCTTCTGATCTGGAGTCAGACGCGCTACCATTGCGCCACAGATCCACTACTCTAACTTGTGCGATTATACAACTACATATATAAATAATAAATCATAATTTGACTGTCATAATAAATAATAGGGTAAATCACAGTGACCTCCCTGAAAATTTGAAAATATGTAGTAAGCCCATGAATTTGACATTATTATTATTAAATTGAGCAATCATGTGGTTTTAATTTATAAAAAACTGAATGGTACCTTAATTACGACTTTTGTGGTATTTGATTATGACTTATTGAAGTGTTAGTTATGACATTATTTTGGTGGTGATCAAAAAGTTTTTTTTGTTATACTTTATATAGTGTTTGGTTATAACTCTTTTTTTTTTTTTTTTAGCTATAACTCTCATTTGGATTAAGTTATGACATTGAGCTATCTTGCAATTTTAGTTTATGAAAAATTCAGTGGTAACCTAGTTATGATTTTTGTGGTATTTGGATATAACCTATTGGAGTGGTAGTTATGACATTATTTTAGTGCTGATCTAAATGTTTTTTTTGTTATACCTTATATAATGTTTGGTTATAACTTTTTTTGTTTGCTACAACTCTCATTTGGATTAAGTTATGATATTTGTGATAATCAATCCCACAAATATCATAACTTGCATATTTGTACCATAGCATTGCCTTATAAGATAGGGTAAATTTCAAATACACCCTAAGATGTACTAAAATATGAATTACCCCTCTAGTTCTGAAAATTACAAATACTCCCTTATTAAAAAAATTTATTTAACAGAATTAAAATTAAAAAAATAAAACTCTTAACTACCCTCATATACAACAATAAAATTCATGGATTGTTAATTGATATATATATTTCTAACATTATTAAAAATTGTTAATTACCTGATAATTTAATAATAAAAAGAGTTAACTTTTATGCGATTAGAAACTTGAAAGAGCAGGAAGTAATTTTTAAAATTACATAAAACAATTTGTATTTCACCAAAATCTAAAAGAGTATATTTATAATTTATCCACTAATATAACATAAGGGTTGTCCTCTATGTCTGGTCCAGTTTCTTTTTATTTTACTTTATTACATGTTCACATCAGTAACATTTTTCAAAGTTAGTTGTACACTAAATTCTTGAGAATTTTATCTAAATTAAGTTCTTGAAAGGTATCATTTTCCTACTAATTTCTTGCGTCTTTTTCAATCATCTACATCTCTTTCAATCCTTGAGTGCTCAAGAGGATCTATCCATCAATAATTGATTAAAGTAATCATTCATCTAAAAATTAACACTTACCAGAGATTTTGTCAATCACTATGACTAATGATGTGCCTTTTCATGTGCTAAGCATTCATGTCCTCTTATGGATATGAAAATTAAGCATACATAAAAAATGTTTGAAATATTTTTTTGATAATCTTGAGTCTCATACTGTATTATTTAGGAGTATTCTCGATAAATGGACAATTAGAAAATGCGTTACGTCAAGTTATCTCTTATCTTATCTATCATCTACTTAATAAAAATGAATCAATATTATTTCACCTGTAAAATTTTTCATCATCAGTTGAAAACATGGCAATGCTACATGATAATCTAAAACTATTGAATAACAGGAATATTATATACATAATAGAAAAACTATCCACAAAACTATATCAATAGACCACATTCACTCTAGGATGGTCCATATCACACCAACTTTAAATTTATATCATATGTTTCACTTTTAAGATAATTTTTGTAGTATAAATTCTTGGTACACAGCAATTTTCACTAAATAATACTACGTAATAAGAAAAATTACTCAAAAAAAAAAAACACAAACTACATCAATGCACCACAATGCTACTCTATACTCGAGGATTCTGTGATTTGTGTATAAAACACCACACATCATTCAAATACTATTGAGATGATCACCATGAAGGTTCACATAATCTCCAAAGAAACCATCAAACCTTCTTCTCCAACCTCTCCTCACCTCAAAACTTACAAGCTCTCTTTGTTAGATCAACTTTCAAGTCGTTTTTACATATCCAGAGTTCTCTTCTACACCTCTAATGCCTCCGATAATACATCATACAAGGCCTCTCATCTCAAGAAATCCCTCTCTGAAACCCTAGCACTGTACTACCCGTTTACAGGAAGGCTCAGAGATGGTGTCTGCATAGATTGTAACGACGATGGAGTCGAATTATTTGAAGCTAAGATCAGTTGCAGGCTGTCTGAGATCCTCAAAAAACCCACGCCAGAGACTCTGCATGGGCTGTTTCCTAGTGATTTGCTTGGGAACAACTCATATAAGGGCAGTTTGGTGGTGATTCAGATCAACTATTTTGATTGTGGAGGAATGGCTGTGAGTGTGTGTGTGTCACACAAAGTTGCAGATGGATGCACCATGAGCAACTTCATCAGTGACTGGGCTGCCATGGCTCGGCAAGATGGTGAGCAAGTTCAAACTTTTGGGAATTTTAATAAAAAGTAAAATAGAATAATTCCCCATAAAATCCAATCAAATAATCCGATAAGACCCTCTAATTTTTTTTTATCTTCATTTTTTACTATTTTTTCATATTTTCTGATAGTGAGTTTGGCCAATAGACCAACTTGATCTACTCGAGATATCGGGCTTACACTGGGTAAAAGCCTGCCAAGTCATGAGCTTTTGGACCAAATTATGACCTTTGTGATACCTATAGAAATCTATGGTTTATATATATATATATATATGGTTCCTAAAAAATTGTAGAAACACAAAAAATGATGTATTAAATATGACACAGTTCGAGAGTTCTTTGTACTCGTAATTTCTTCATATTTGGTCACTTTGGTTTGTGACTAATTTATATTTTCGTAGAAGACATTTGTGAGCAAATTGAGTTGAACCTTGGAAGTGTAGCACTCAGTCTATATCTTCATGTGGGGGAGGAATTACAATTTTAAGACAATGATTACACACCAAGTCACAAGCCCACTTTTCTATTTCTAAATTTACAGTAATATTTTTTTGTTTCTAAATGCTTGTTTAGCATGTGCTAAAATAGCACATGTTATTTTAGCATATTATTCTATTTGAGTTACAATTATTTTATTTGCGTCACATTATTTCTCTATCATATTACTTCAAACTCAATTCATATTTTATATTTTTTCATAAAAAGTCAAAAAAGTATACTAATCTAATACTTCTTAAACAACCCTAAATGTCATACCTCCTATTTTATTAGTCTAATTTTGTATACGTAATTTCTAATTCTATTGTAGGAGTTCCATCACATCCTATGTTCATCGCTGCAACATCAAGATCCCCATTAGACAATCCATTCGACATGCCTGAAATCGAGCTGAAGAAACAAAGTTGTATCACAAGGAGGTTTGTGTTCGATTCCCCCAAAATAGCCAAACTCAAGTCCATGGCAGCAGATCCAAGAGCTCAGAATCCAACCCGTGTTGAAGTTGTAACCGCGCTACTTTTCAAATCTGCCATGGCTTCTATGTCAAGAAAAAACCCGAGCTTGTTGATCCAAACTATGAACATGCGCCCAAAAATGTCCCCTCCATTACCACCAAATTCTGCTGGGAATTTTTGCTGGCACTTCACATTATCACTAAACGGTGATCAGAGGGATACAAAGTTGCACGAATTGGTAACCCAAATGAGAAAATGTATGACACAGTTCCATGACAAGAAAGTGAGAAATTTCACAGTGAACGAATGGTTCGTGACAGTGCGCGAATCATTGAAAGAGGCAAAAGCATTGTATGATAGTAAAACTGAAATTAATGTTTTCAGCAGCAATAGTATGTGTAGGTTTCCGTTTTACAAAGTTGATTTTGGGTGGGGAAAGCCAGTGTGGGTGGCGATTGCTGGTAATGTTTTTAAGAATACTTTTGTTTTGATGGATTCGCCATGCTCAGATGGGATAGAAGCTTGGGTAACTTTGGATGAACAAGACATGGAAGTGTTTGGAAATGATGAAGGTATACTTAGATTTTCCTCTTTGAATCCAAGTGTTTTAGACACTGACCGTGAGGTGTGAATTAATTTATCATAATCCCAATTTGTACTCTTGTTCATATCCCAATTTATATACATACAAAATGGTAGATGACAAATGCTCAATTTTAAAATGAATCAATTATGATTGAGATATTCATTATAGCATCCGAATTAGTTGTATCAGTTGTGAATTGACCCCATTCTATCGAAAATTATAGCTAGAATGACCACAAGCAATCTATGCCTTTCAAGGGAATTGAATCCGTTAACCTGTTCTGATACTAATTGTAGGATCAAGAACTCTTCCGCTGTACCAAAAGCGATATCCAGTGAGACTACAACTTTATTTTCTTTGAGGGTACAATACCAGCGCGACACCTCGGGCTCTACTATGAGAATATGTTGGCCGAAAATCAGGCCGACAATATCGATTTGAAGAACAAAAATACAATGCGTACCATTAAAGTAGTGTCTTTTTTGTCTTGAAGTATAGAAACGAGAATCTAAGCTTGTCATTTTGTTGTTGAAGAGTAAAAAAATAAAGTTAGAAATTAATTGGCAATTTTATTTGCGATAAAAGTGAGGCTATATATGGAGATTTGGGCCTTGTTTGTCATAATGTAAAAGAATCAAAAAGTCACTATACGAGTACAAAATAATCTTTCTCGTATAATTCTGTTGATCAAGTTTGCGCTCTTCCAATCGTCGTCGCTTTGCTTCTTGAAAATACAAACGTGAGTTAGCCAGCGAGTGTGTGCCAGAAACTTCTCTGATGCCTAAGTCAGCAAATAGACAATAGACACAAAAGCCCTGTGTATTCTTAGAATAAAAATTGTGATACCTGTACATAGGTCTGTAATGAGCTTTTATAGAATCCATATGGCACAATCCTAGTAGGACTTCAACTCTCTTTAGCAGAGTCCTCCTAGGAATCAGAAAGGTAATGCTCATCTTTCTAATCTCTCCTCACTGCTTAACCAAGTGAGATAGTTTTACCACGATAGCATAACAAAAATCAACCGTGCTAACACCGCCGTGCTTTACGGTAGATTTTACCGAGCTTACCTAGCTCGGTTCTACCTTGCCTCTTACAGCTCGCCTCTCTTCTCTCTGTACCTCGGTTCAGAATGTTAAAACCAGCTTACTGGCAAACAGCTTTGACCAAGCTGACGGGATAAAGGACCGGGCTAATCAAGCTATCACCACAGCCCATAGCTCGGTCCATTTCCCATCGGGTCCCAGCTCGGCCCATGTTAAAACATAAATTACCCTCTTAATTGCTCCTTAATTCCATCTGCAATGCATGATTTGGGATTATTCTTCTCCAGCCGAGCTAAAACATCCAAGTGAACCGATCTAAAAATAAGTAACTCCTTCGGAATAAAAATATTCAACCCCGCCGATATGGATAAGCTCGGTCTTCAGCTTTGTACCTGCTACGACTCGTCGCTTCACATACTTGACACCATGTCTTATCTGTGACACATGGCAGATGTCTATTGACCCTTCAAACTGCGACAGCTGTCCCACGTTTATCAAAAAAATGTTTGAAAAGTCCCGACGTTTCTATGCTTAGTCAAAAACCTATTTTCTGAATCTCACTTGCACTGTTCATCTTTGTTCTTCAGAGAATCTCTGCATTCGAAACTCCATACCCATGCCTCCATCTCCATTGGCCTTCTTGTTGGTTAGTTATTTTTTCACGCCTTCTCACTCGTAAGTTGCTAATGCCTCTTTATGATGTTCCTTTTTATCTATTACTTCATTTTTGGTATTTAATCTTCATATACATGTGTTTATATACACTATAGTGTTGAGCAAATGTCATAAATCCAAAACCTTATGCTTGAGCTCAAAGGCACACCAACTGGATTCAAAAAACATAATGTTTAATCCAGAGTCGTGTTGTAACCGAACTAGGTATTTGTTTTAGGCGACTTTTAGGATTGAACACGACCAAACTAAGAGATCGGTTATAACCTTGCATACTTATCTCCAACCGAGCTAGGGGCCTTGAGTTGGCTCTTCCCTACGACCGAACTCAGAGCTACCCGTTACCCATATGTAACCGAGCTAAGTTTTTACTATTTTGTAAATTAACTATTTGCTTAGCCTGGTTCAGTTGTCTGGGCATAGCACTTCTTATTTCCCTTTTGCAGACTTGACTAGCTTGGCCAGACACACCTTTGCACCCTGCCCCTAGGCGGCTTTGCACAACCGAACCGACCAAAGCCTTAGCCGCGCCAAGCTGGGCAACTTGTGAACTCCATTTACAACTTTTTAAGTTAACATGTGTAAATATCGATTTCTAGTTGACTCCCCTGAGGCCATAGCCGAGTTTTGAAAGGACTACAAAATTCCAGACGACGTCCACCTATCTTTAGCCGAACTAGATACCATGCCATGGGAAAAATCGGGCTTTGTTCCTTTTACCGTAATATCAATAGTAGAGGCCGGTCTCCGATTCCCTGTGCAACCACTAATATGCGAGTTCCTCAGGCAAACAAGACTATGCCCAACCCAACTCAGCACTAATACTTATAGGATAATAAATGGCATCGCCGAGCTAAACCGCCGGCTTGGCTTCAACCTCGGATTGGTCGAGCTATTCCACCTATATTCGCTCGGCCACAATGATGACGGTTGGGTGCATTATTTAAGAGTAAGGAGAGGCTGAGAGAAAATTATAAAAACATCCGAGATAAAGACGTAAATGACGATGACTTTTTCTGGGTTTCTGGCAATTTCGAAGACCGGGAAGCCCAGATACCAGGCTACAACATAAATTGGAATAAGGGGACTGCTGGTAAGAATACCTTGGTCTAATTTTCTTTTTGTCTCGTTATTCCAAGTTATAATTTCACACTATGCTGACACAGTATTTTGTCTCTCTTTTGTGCAGACTTAAACCAACTGAAATCACAATACCCATACGCCAACCAAGACACCCTTCGCGCCACGCTACGATACCGTCATCGCGGTTAGGCCGTGCTGCTAAACTTCAAACCGATATAGCGGAATGAGGAAGACAGGGTGACAGACTTTCTCCTTGAACCATCACCTGAACCAGATCCCATACTTCACCAAATCAACTTGATCCTTCTGACAGAAGAACAATAAATGGCAAAAAAGAGAGCCGTGCGAGCGCTTATCACCGAGCAGACCATTGGTGAAGCGCAAACCGGGCTAGAGCTATCTAGCCAACCCCGTGATACCGTGGTCACCCTTCCAACTGTGAGGGCCTCCACATCTCGGCCAAACAAGTGTGCATGAACCGCTTCAGCCGAGCCGCAATGCCTGGTTGATGAGGACATCGTGCTTCTTAACACCATGATGCCGAGCCCTGAGCCCATGTATTCTGACCGAGCTAGCCCTTTAGAATGGACGCCAAAAATAATTTACAAGAACCGAGCTATAACTACCACAGACTCGGTGGTTGCTGATAAGGACCACACGCTTGTCTTCAACCTTGCTAAAAGCATGTGCCTGCAATCTGACATGGAGCATCATAATCATTTAACTGAGCTCAAGGCTATCCGCTCGGCAGCTAAGTCAATGGTGCTAGTAAGTGTTCTCTCTTTATTTTTCATTTTACACAGTCTGTTTGCTCAGTTTTAGTCATAATCGCTACTTCTCCTTCTGCAGGCCATGCAGAAAAGCCACATTGCTCATAAGCGCGTGTTGGAGCTTCGCAAGACAGCGTGGCTGGCTGTGGCAAATACCAGTGCTAAGACGGCCAAGCTGAACGAAGTCAAACAAAAATTGATCGAGTTCGAAACTGAAAACGCATGACTCGCTGAGCTGGTTAACTCGGCGGAAGCGGACAAACAGAACGCTTTGGCCGAAAGAAAAGACCGCTATCTACGCGAGCTGGCCAAGCTCGAGAAGAAAAAAGATGTCGAAATTGCCGAGCTAAAAAAGAAAATGGAGGACGCTGAAGATAGGGGCTACAAGGAAGAGGAGGCTACCTACATCTTGCAATGTGAAGCTGCAAAGGATATTTTTTTCAAATGCGGATGAAAGACAGCTGTTGCGAAGCTCGGCCTTGGAAAAGAAGCCGAGATCTTTCAAATCCCTCTCCCTCACTTCATTCCAAGCTATATGACGGACTACGCCAATGCCATACAACAGAAGTTTCTCTAAGAGGGGGAGGAGGAAGAAGGATCCCTTGTCCTAGACAATACCCCACATATCCTTAGTGATCGCAGTCTCCAGACAAGTCAAACAGCTCGGGTGGAGCCACCGGTGTCAAATACTGTTGATGATGCGCCTGTGACCAACTTACCTACTGGAACCGGGCTACCAAGTACTGAAGCTCGGGTTGACCTGGATGCAGACTTGGACGATCTATTTTCTTGATCTTGTTTTTCTTCTTTTGATGCTAACTTTTTGAAAGAATTTGTAACCAGGCTTAAGCTCCTCCTCTTGTAATGCACATTTTTCAAATAGAATGGAATGAAATCTGTAATTTTCCAATCTTTTTGTTCGGTTCACACCCTACTTGTAATTATCTTTCAACTTTAATTGCATCAGTCTTGAACTCTTTGCTTGGTTGTGATGTCTTAATATTTTCTGGCCGAGATAACCATCTCGGTCCAAGAGCCCTGTAATCTGTTAACTTTACTATGTGTTGGTCATACATGCCAACTTTCTTCAGCTTAGATCCTTATCTCGACTGAAGAGAGCTAAATGTTGATCATACCTACCAACTTTCTTAAGCCTAGATCCTTATCTCAGCTGAAGAGAGCTAAATGTTGGTCATACCTACCAAACTTTCTTCAGCTTAGATCCTTATCTCGGCTAAAGAGAGCTAAATGTTAGTCATAACTGCCAAACTTTCTTCAGCCTAGATCATTATCTCGGCTGAAGAGAGGTTAATGTTAGTCATACCTGCCAATTTTCTTCAGCCTAGATCCTTATCTCGGCTGAAGAGAACTCAATGTTGGTCATACCTACCAACTTTCTTCAGCCTGGATCCTTATTTTGGCTGAAGAGAGTCAGATGTTAGTCATTCCTGCCAACCTTCTTTAGCCTAGATCCTTATCTCGGCTGAAGAAGAGAATGTTTGGTCATACTTGCCAAACCCCTTGATTGCCCCTTGCTGGCAATGACTAAGAACAACTTTTACAAATAGAAAGAATTACGTTGGAAAGACTACTTGTTTTATTTGAAAAAGGAA